GACATTGTTACGGGCAAGATGGACCTTGTAGTCTTGAGAACGCTGAATAATTTCGTCTGTTCTTAAGACAAAGGCGTCAGGAACAGCACCCAGTAATGCAAAAATTTAACCTGGCATGAGGAGATCCACTCGCTCATTTGCCAGAACTAGAGGTAAATTCTTAGATAACCGTAAAAAGGCAAAATCAAGACGGTGGTCTAATTTACACACATTTTAGATGATTTAAATCTTAGCTGCAAATTTTCCATTCATTTTAGCCAAACTGCAGCGAGTCAGTGACATCCAAATAGTGGAGAAGAACGCTGAACGAATCATAATCTCTTGGCGAGCACCAGTCTCGGCCGATGCTCCCATCTTTGTTGCCATCTCCTGTCTCAATTGTCAAAAGGATGAAGCCGTTTATGTGCCTGGAGATGTTCTTACTGGCAATCGGTGAGTCCTTTTTCCCCTTTCATCCCATGTAATAACTCCTAGCCACAAGGTTTCCACTTAAATTGCTTCTTAAGATGCTAAAATGCACTTTAATTTTGGTCATGTTGTTGTCACACAATCAAACTGAGAGATGTATAGTGAGCTGGCGTGCCGTGCATTCACCACAGAATCTATCAAAATTGTCACTTTAATCCCGTTGATTAATCTTCCTTTGTCATCAAAGGAAAAAATTTATCTCTTTAGACTAAATTTATAATGCAGAAGGTAGACTTCCAAATTCAATGACATTTGTGCAGATTTTGCTGGTCATCATTCACGTCAATCCGGGACTTTGAAGGTAGCACGTTTCCTGATATAGCCCTTCAATGCCTACAGTCTATCCTTCAAGTACCATAAAATCTTTTTGCTGGAAAGATTTTTTAAACGACTGAGTCATTTTGCTACACCTTTGATGATCACTTTGATTTTGGCGTTGAAGATTTCACTCTAAACCCCTCGTGATTCTTCCCAGAAAAATCTAAATTTTCTTGGTCGAATGCTTTTTACTTCACTGTGACAAACAACTCTCCTGAATTTTCGAAAGCCGAAGGCTATCATGGTAGTCTGTGGGTGGTTATTCACAAAACCATACAATCTTGTGACTGCAACATGTTCGCCATTATTCTTTGTTAAATTCCACTGGAGGTTTGAAGTTATTTTTCAAAGACCAAACAGGTTTTCTATGCATTGAGCAATTATTTGCAAGGTTATTTAGTGTTCTTTGAACCGAAAACACAGTCACTACGTCAAAGGCTATCACCAAGTATTTATTGCTGACCAGAGGGGAGTACATCATCTTCGTTTCCTGCTTGAAGTTCTTTCATTTGAGCAGGTATACACGGATCGGTTTAAAAGAAATGTATGTCCATGCGCATGCAAATTCATGGCCTTTCCTATTTTTTTTCGACTGTGCATTGATCCGACCAGTCCTGGAATAAGGCACAAATGTGGTGCCGTCTTGTTAGCAACTACCAAAATCCCGGTTTGACATGAACCACTTGATAGCAGTTTCGTTCCTTCTTTGGCATCTGCTGTTTTCCTCAACACTTCACCAACGTGTTTCCATATTGCTAGTCTTTGAGTTTTACTTACTGCTTAAGAAGTGAGTGGTCTCGATGCATTTGCTTTGGACAGCAATTTTCGACAGAATTTGTCTTTTCAATTTGGTAGTTGACCTGGAAAAAGTATGGAAGTCTGTACTGGAATGTACCACACAGAAGTCCTTTTCAGTATTTACTTGCGGTGATAAATTATCTTATGAAGGGAGAAAAGAGACTGCTTGCCTTTTTTGAGAATAGTGAATAATTATGTGGCACTGCTGATGGAAGAAATATCACCCGAAATCAAAGTGTTTGGAGTGACCTTCAAGGTGGAAGTCGTAAAGGTTACAAAGTAGATAAGTCTCACTCAAATGTCAGGCACTAACAGAGGACAATTTGCTTTACAGGCCATCATTTTGTTCTTCACTTCTTGTCCTGTTGTTGGAAGAAGCACTTTTGACTGACCGAATGACTGACTAAGTAAACGATTTGTGGTGAGCATTTACCTTTGTGGCCTCAGATGAACTACCCATTTCTTGCCGCACACTACTTCCTGCCTAGAGCACTATGCTTGTGTGTGTTTGGGTGTGCATTGGCTTGATAAAGGTCAACCAACCATGAGTGACCTCTATTTGCTTGATGCCATACAATTCAAAGACCGAAAGAGCGTATTATTGGCGAGAAACTGCCAGTATTTTTACCACAGGAGAACCCCTCTCTCGTGAGAGGATCTCTTATCAAGTGTTAGGAAGAGAGGATGGGGAAAAGGAGGAAGAGATATGCTGTTTTAGCCCCTCTCCTTAGTCGCCTTTTCCATATTTTCTTGTCTGCAGATCTCCAATCTCAGAATGGTGACTGTCATCCTCTTCCTTGGCATGA